AGAAATACTATGAAATGTAAAAGTGAATACACGTACATGATCATGTATACTAAAATTATTTGTAATGTGGATCCTGTTCTTGCGCAGCTTGTATCATATATCTAACTGCAAACGCAAGTACCACGACGCCTGCAATCACAATTAGATTCGACATGAGCGACGAAAGGCCAGAAGACGGTTCGGCGGCACTAAAAGAAAAATAAATGGATTCAATACAAGCTGAACGATCACAAAGTCATGTTTGCATAAAGTCATAGCTTGATATCTCCACACCAGTTAACTTTCCGCCTTTACTTTCACTAAAGTCTAAGTAGTCGCAAAATTATCAAAAATTTGAAGCGTTTGAAGTTTTAGTAAATTTACGCTGGTGCTTCATACATCCACTGGAACTGAATGGACTTCGGGGAATTCTAAGAAAAAGAGAAGAAAACAGCAATAACAACTGCAAAAATCAGATTGTTTCCCTTTATTCAAATCTTCCCTTCTTGTCTAACAAGCAAATTTACCAGATGCCAAAACAATACTTTGAAAAAGACGTTATTGTAAATGAGTTTAAAATGTGACTAGCAAAAAGGCAGAAAATCGAAAGCGTAAGAGCACATGTAAGAAATATTTCACCTTCTTAGACGTTCCTCCTCTTCCCTTAATGTGGCTTCTTCTGCTGTGCTGGTCTCACTGAGATCTTTCTTGATTTCTTCAACAACATCCGGAAACAATTCGCAAAACACGCGATCCTTCAAATGTGAAAAGCATTTGAAAATGTTCTCTGTTCGACAATGAATTACCTTCAAGTTGAAAGCTTTACTACGTCGAGCAAGTATTCTCTTCTCTGCATCTGATGAAGTGATACTTCCCAAGGTTGGTGCAGTGTCATTCATAAAGGATAAGAGACCAGTGATGATTGTGGAAACCTAAAAATAGTCTAAAATAGATAGTAAGACTCGAGATGGATTATTAGCTCTTCCTACCGTCCAAGCAGGATTCCAGGTATCCGGATGAAAATCAGAAATCGATAAACAAAGCCTAGTGTTCACTTGAAACCGTCCACTAGGAGTAATCATGTAAATAGATGGTGGCTTGAAGGGAAAATCATTTGGGAAGACCAGTTTGCCATGGTAGACACCACCTTAAAAATTAAAGTTACGAAAGCAGCTTCTCCGTTGTAGTTACAAGGAAACAAGCTATACGAAAAGTGGTGTGCTGTATAGTCAAATATTCAGGTTGTCACGAATAA